CACTCATACTCACACTCATACTCACACTCATACTCACACATTCATACTCACACTCATACTCGCACACTCATACTCACACTCATACTCGCACACTCATACTCACACTCATACTCGCACACTCATACTCACACTCACACTCATACTCACACATTCATACTCACACTCATACTCACACACTCATACTCACACATTCATACTTATACTCACACTCACACACTCATACTCACACTCATACTCACACTCATACTCACACACTCATACTCACACATTCATACTCATACTCACACTCATACTCACACTCACACACTCATACTCACACTCACACACTCATACTCACATTCATACTCACACTCATACTCACACATTCATACTCACACTCATACTCACACATTCATACTCATACTCACACTCTCACTCACACTCATACTCGCACACTCATACTCACACATTCATACTCATACTCACACTCTCACTCACACTCATACTCGCACACTCATACTCACACTCACACTCATACTCGCACACTCATACTCACACTCATACTCACACTCATACTCACACATTCATACTCACACTCATACTCGCACACTCATACTCACACTCATACTCGCACACTCATACTCACACTCACACATTCATACTCACACTCATACTCACACACTCATACTCACACTCACATTCATACTCACACTCATACTCTCACACTCATACTCACACACTCACACATTCATACTCACACTCATACTCACACACTCATACTCACACTCACACTCATACTCACACTCATACTCACACACTCATACTCACACTCACACTCACATTCATACTCACACTCAAACTCACACACTCATACTCACACTCACATTCATACTCACACTCATACTCACACACTCATACTCACACTCACACTCACACTCACATTCATACTTACACTCATACTCACACACTCATACTCACACTCACTCACTCACACACAAACTCTTCAGACGCTTGATCGGATGAATCACATTTACACACTGTGACTGAGGTACTGTTGTCTGATCTGAGTGTGTGTGTCCTCAGCAATGTAATGACGTGGGTCTGATGGCGTATCTGGGATCCATCACCAAAACCTGCAACAGCATGAATCAGTTCATCAACAAGTTTAACGTCCTGTACGACCGTCAGGGCATCGGCCGGCGCATGAGAGGCCTGTTCTTCTGAAACACTCCGTCTTCTGCTCTCTCCCATCATACCCTGTGCTCTCTCGCCCATCATACCCTGTGCTCTCTCTCCCACCATACCCTGTGCTCTCTCTCCCACCATACCCTGTGCTCTCTCTCCCACCATACCCTGTGCTCTCTCTCCCACCATACCCTGTGCTCTCTCTCCCATAATACCCTGTGCTCTCTCGCCCATCATACCCTGTGCTCTCTCTCCCATCATACCCTGTGCTCTCTCTCCCACCATACCCTGTGCTCTCTCTCCCACCATACCCTGTGCTCTCTCTCCCACCATACCCTGTGCTCTCTCTCCCACCATACCCTGTGCTCTCTCTCCCATAATACCCTGTGCTCTCTCGCCCATCATACCGTGCTCTCTCTCCCACCATACCCTGTGCTCTCTCTCCCATAATACCCTGTGCTCTCTCTCCCACCATACCCTGTGCTCTCTCTCCCACCATACCCTGTGCTCTCTCTCCCATCATACCCTGTGCTCTCTCGCCCACCATACCCTGTGCTCTCTCTCCCACCATACCCTGTGCTCTCTCGCCCATAATACCCTGTGCTCTCTCTCCCACCATACCCTGTGCTCTCTCTCCCATCATACCCTGTGCTCTCTCGCCCATAATACCCTGTGCTCTCTCTGACTGTTCCTGCTGTTTGACAAATAAACATGTTTTTGTGCGAGACTGTCTGTTTATCATTGCCTGTGCATGTCCAGATATGAGACTCAACCCTCGAGTCGGGTTTATTTATGATACAGATTCTTGCAGAGCTGTTTATAAAACATCTGGTGCTCATCCTCCATCAGATGAGCGTCTGTAGATCACTGCTCCTGCCTAACACACACTAACACACACTTTAGCCCACGAGATCTGTCGTTACACTGATCTCCGTCTGGAAACTAGAGTTTATAGCAAACTTCTTACATATTTATTAAAACAATGTAGTGTTTGATAAATATTAAAACAATATTTCCCAGATGAAAGTAATTTAAAAACAGTGCTGTTTTATGAGCTCAGTTACCAGGCGAGTGAGACACATCATCAATAAGTCCCAAACAGAAGTCTTCATTTTTAATAAGTTCAAAAGACATTAATGCAAAATCTACTGATTCACACATTAGATTTATAAAGAAATGTTAATAAGCTGCACCAAAACCGTTAGTGCTAACACCACAAGAGTTAATAACAGTGTGAGCGTGTGTAAGTGAGTGAGACGGAGAGTGTGTGTGTGTGTTGGAGAGAGAGTGTGTGAGTATGTGTGTTTATTGTGTGTATGCTCGCTCAGCATCTGTGTGTTGGAGTGAGTGTGTGTTTGAGAGTGTGAGTGTGTGTTTGAGAGTGTGAGTGTGTGTTTGAGAGTGTGAGTGTGTGTTTGAGAGTGTGAGTGTGAGTGTGTGTTTGAGAGTGTGAGTGTGTGTTGGAGTGAGAGTGTGTGAGTGTGTGTGTGTTAATTGTGTGTATGCTCGCTCAGCATCTGTGTGTTGGTGTGTGTGTGTGTTTATTGTGCCTATGCTCAGCATCTGTGTGTTGGAGTGTGAGTGTGTGTTGGAGTGAGAGTGTGTGTTGGAGTGAGTGTGTGTTTGAGAGAGTGTGTGTTTGAGAGTGTGAGTAAGTGTTTGGAGTGAGTGTGTGTTTGAGAGTGTGAGTGTGTGTTTGAGAGTGTGAGTGTGTGTTTGAGAGTGTGAGTGTGTGTTTGAGAGTGTGAGTGTGTGTTGGAGTGTGAGTGTGTGTTGGAGTGTGAGTGTGTGTTTGGAGTGAGTGTGTGTTTGAGAGTGTGAGTGTGTGTTTGAGAGTGTGAGTGTGTGTTTGAGAGTGTGAGTGTGTGTTTGAGAGTGTGAGTGTGTGTTTGAGAGTGTGTGTTTGAGAGTGTGTGTTGGAGTGTGAGTGTGTGTTTGAGAGTGTGAGTGTGTGTTTGAGAGTGTGAGTTTGAGAGTGTGAGTGTGAGTGTGTGTTTGAGAGTGTGAGTGTGTGTTGGAGTGAGAGTGTGTGAGTGTTTATTGTGTGTATGCTCGCTCAGCATCTGTGTGTTGGTGTGTGTGTGTGTTTATTGTGCCTATGCTCAGCATCTGTGTGTTGGAGTGTGAGTGTGTGTTGGAGTGAGAGTGTGTGTGTGTGTGTCTATTGTGTGTATGCTCGCTCAGCATCTGTGTGTTGGAGTGTGAGTGTGTGTTGGAGTGAGAGTGTGTGTGTGTGTGTCTATTGTGCCTATGCTCAGCATCTGTGTGTTGGAGTGAGAGTGTGTGTGTGTGTGTGTGTGTGTTTATTGTGTGTATGCTCGCTCAGCATCTGTGTGTTGGAGTGTGAGTGTGTGTTGGAGTGAGAGTGTGTGTGTGTGTGTGTGTGTAATAGGCTGGGATAGTAAATCAAAGTAAAGTTTATAAAAAAATTAAAAAAAAAAACTTTGCTCCACCCTCAACAACAGTCATGCTGACATGTGCCTCAGTTCTTCGTTTTTTTAATAAAAATGACTAAATTCACACACTTTTACGATGTTTTTGGGATTCAAACTGTTGGACAGCTAATTCAGAAAAATACTTTCAAAATGTAAGACTTTATAAAGCCGTGATAAGACTTTTTAATACTTTTTAAGGGTCTTAATTTTCCCAAAATTGATTTATCACCTTTTAATACTTTTCAAGACCCCGCGGATACCCTGAGTGAGAGTGTGTGTGTGTGGAGTGAGAATGTGTGTGTGTTTATTGTGCCTATGCTCAGCATCTGTGTGTTGGAGTGTGAGTGTGTGTTGGAGTGAGAGTGTGTGTGTGTGTGTGTTTATTGTATGCTCGCTCAGCATCTGTGTGTTGGAGTGAGTGTGTGTTGGAGTGTGAGTGTGTGTTGGTGTGAGTGTGTGTTGGAGTGAGAGTGTGTGTGTGTGTGTATGCTCGCTCAGCATCTGTGTGTTGGAGTGTGAGTGTGTGTTGGAGTGAGTGTGTGTTGGAGTGAGAGTGTGTGTGTGTGTGTATGCTCGCTCAGCATCTGTGTGTTGGAGTGTGAGAGTGTGTTGGAGTGTGAGTGTGTGTTGGAGTGAGAGTGTGTGTGTGTGTGTATGCTCGCTCAGCATCTGTGTGTTGGAGTGTGAGTGTGTGTTGGAGTGAGTGTGTGTTGGAGTGAGAGTGCGAGTGTGTGTTGGAGTGAGAGTGTGTGTGTGTGTGTATGCTCGCTCAGCATCTGTGTGTTGGAGTGTGAGAGTGTGTTGGAGTGTGAGTGTGTGTTGGAGTGAGAGTGCGAGTGTGTGTTGGAGTGAGAGTGTGTGTGTGTGTTTATTGTATGCTCGCTCAGCATCTGTGTGTTGGAGTGAGAGTGTGTGTGTGTGTGTATGCTCGCTCAGCATCTGTGTGTTGGAGTGTGAGAGTGTGTTGGAGTGTGAGTGTGTGTTGGAGTGAGAGTGCGAGTGTGTGTTGGAGTGAGAGTGTGTGTGTGTGTTTATTGTATGCTCGCTCAGCATCTGTGTGTTGGAGTGAGAGTGTGTGTGTGTGTGTATGCTCGCTCAGCATCTGTGTGTTGGAGTGTGAGTGTGTGTTGGAGTGAGTGTGTGTTGGAGTGAGAGTGTGTGTGTGTGTGTATGCTCGCTCAGCATCTGTAAACCTCTTTAAACACTCCCAGCTGTGCAGGTCCAGCTAATGATCTGGGATCTGCTGCTGTTAGCAGAGCCTCTCGGCGTGAAGCTTCACGAGCGTCTGCTTCCTGAAACACAACTGATGCAGGACAAACCCATTCCGCCCAGTTCAACTGTTTTACTGTTTTATTGATGTTTCTGAACATGAATTATGAAGCATGAAACACACAATGAAATGAGCCGGTCAGTGCGGCTCTATGCGTCGGCTGAGGGGTAGGCGTGCCGGAGCGGGTCGTACAGCTCGGACCGGTAGTTGTAGGGATGAGGGTGGGAGTAATAGTACGGATGCGGGAGTTTCTTGCTGACGGGAAGCGGATCCGGATCGTCCTCTTCCGGAGCCGGAGCCGGAACCAGAACCTTACCCTTCACGGGCCGCGGCGGGTGCTCGATCAGGCAGTCGGGGTCCCAGTACGGGTCGCAGTCGAACTCCATGGCCTTGAAGAGCATGGGGGCGGGCGGAGGGGGCGGGGCCAGCTCAGGTGTTCTGGAGGGGGGCGGGGCAGGGGGCGGGGCCTCCAGACGGCAGCTGGGGTGGTAGCGCGGGTCGCACAGCACCGGCACGGCTCCGGTGGGCATGTACACGATGTGTGGTTTACACAGCGGGTCTTTACTGTTGCACAGATACACCACATCAGCCTGAGCCGGGGGCGGAGCCAGGCCTTTAACTGGGGCGGGGGGCGGAGCCTGGCCTTTAACTGGGGTGGGGGGCGGAGCCTGGCCTTTAACTGGGGCGGGGGGCGGGGCCTGCTTACACCCCTTGTCTTTGGCAGGGTCACACTTGGGAAGCGGTGGCAGAACCGGAAGGCCCAGTTTGCTCTGGTACTGGGCGGCGTTGGGCCCGTGGATGTGCTCCAGCTGCCTCATCTGCTGGTACAGCATCCGGATCCGGTCGATCTCGTACAGCTGCGGGGAAATACACTTGATCAATATATTATTAGTTGGGTTTGTCTGTTTTATCTTGTGAAGTGTCTGTGAAGCGTGTGTGTGTGTGTGTGTGAACGGTCTGTGAAGCGTGTCTGTGTGTGTGTGTGTGTGTGAACGGTCTGTGAAGCGTCTGTGAAGCGTGTGTGTGTCCGTGTTTGAGTGTGTGTGTGTGTGTGTCTGTGAAGCGTCTGTGTCTGTGTGTGTGTGTGTGCGTGTGTGTGTGAAGGGTCTGTGAAGCGTGTGTGTGTGTCCGTGTTTGAGTGTGCGTGTGTGTCTGTCTGTGAAGCGTCTGTGTGTGTGTGTGTGTGTGTGTGTTTGTCCGTGTGTGTGTGTGTTTGTCCGTGTGTGTGGTGTGTGTGTGTGTGAAGCATCTGTGTGTGTCCGTGTGTGAATGTGTCTGTCTGTGAAGCGTCTGTGTGTGTGTTTGTGTGTGTGTGTGTGTGTGTGTGTGTGTCTGTGAAGCGTCTGTGTCTGTGTGTCTGTGTGTGTGTCTGTGTGTGTGAGTGTGCGTGTGTGTCTGTCTGTGAAGCGTCTGTGTGTGTGTGTGTGTGTGTGTGTGTGTTTGTCCGTGTGTGTGTGTGTTTGTCCGTGTGTGTGTGTGTGTGTGTGTGTGAAGCATCTGTGTGTGTCCGTGTGTGAGTGTGCGTGTGTGTCTGTGTGTGTGTCTGTCTGTGAAGCGTCTGTGTGTGTGTGTGTGTGTGTGTGTGTGTGTGTGTGTCTGTCTGTGAAGCGTCTGTGTGTGTGTGTGTATGTGTGTGTGTCTGTCTGTCTGTGAAGCGTCTGTGTGTGTGTGTGTGTGTGTGTGTGTGTGTGTGTGTGTGTGTGTGTGTGAAGCGTCTTACGCCCTCGGTGTGTCCGATGCTGTTGTAATATCGGTAATACGCCTGGAAGTCTGGAGTCTGCCGGTACCACCGGGGATCAGCGCTGCGTTTGGGTCGCGAGCCGGACAGGAACTCATTCGCCTTGTTGGAGTCGATACTGACTGAAGCAACATCTAACACACACACACACACGGACACACACACACACACACACAGATGAAGCATTAAAATCGTTTTTCTGTATCTTCTTAAAAAACGTACGAGTGTGTGTTAAAGCTCTGAGACGAAGCCCAGAGGAACATCCATCCCTCCAGAACACCTAACCCATGTTCAGCCCGCGTGTGTGTGTGTGTGTGTGTGTGTGTGTGTGTGTGTGTGTGTGTGTGAAGCTAACCCTAACCCTTCCAGAACACCTAACCCATGTCCAGCCCGTGTGTGTGTGTGTGTGTGAGTGTGTGTGTGTGTGAAGCTAACCCTAACCCTTCCAGAACACCTAACCCATGTCCAGCCCGTGTGTGTGTGTGTGTGTGTGTGTGTGTGTGTGTGAAGCTAACCCTAACCCTTCCAGAACACCTAACCCATGTCCAGCCCGTGTGTGTGTGTGTGTGTGAGTGTGTGTGTGTGTGAAGCTAACCCTAACCCTTCCAGAACACCTAACCCATGTCCAGCCCGTGTGTGTGTGTGTGTGTGTGTGTGTGTGTGTGTGTGTGTGTGAAGCTAACCCTAACCCTTCCAGAACACCTAACCCATGTTCAGCCCGTGTGTGTGTGTGTGTGTGTGAGAGATAAAACATGACAATCTGGGGCTTGATATTGCAACAGAAACGTTTAACTCTCTCTTTTCCAGCACTTTAGACGCAGTTGCTCCATTGCGCTTAAAGAAGATTAAAGAAAATAGTCCAACGCCGTGGTACAGCGAGCACACTCAGGCCCTTAAGAGAGCAGCCAGAAACATGGAGCGCAACTGGAAGAAAACTAAACTAGAGGTATTTCGGATTTCATGGAAAGAGAGCTCGATTGCTTACAGAGAGGCTTTAAAAGCTGCTAGATCTGCTTATCTTTCAACCCTATTAGAAGAAAATAAACATAATCCTAGGTATTTATTTGAAACAGTGGCTAAACTAACGAAAAAGAAAGCTTCAACCCCAGAAGTGTCCAAGCAACACAGCAGTAATGACTTTATGAACTTCTTCACTTATAAGATCGATAATATTAGGGAGAAAATTATAACTATGCAACCGTCTACCACAGTATCGCATCAGGCATTGCATTGTAGTCTCCATGAGGAAAAATTTGATTCATTTGTTGCTATAGGAGAGGAAGAATTTTCTAAACTTGTTAATTCATCTAAATCGACAACTTGTATGTTAGACCCTATACCGACTAAGCTACTGAAAGAGATGCTTCCAGAGGTCATATATCCTCTTCTTACTATCGTTAATTCGTCTTTGTCTCTAGGATACGTACCAAAAACCTTTAAACTGGCTATGATAAAACCGCTTGTTAAAAAAACGCAACTTGATCATACAGAATTAGTCAATTACAGGCCGATCTCGAATCTGCCTTTTCTGTCAAAGATATTAGAAAAAGCAGTATCTTCACAACGGTGTTCCTTTCTAGAAAGAAATTATATCTGCGAGGATTTTCAGTCCGGATTTAGACCGTACCATAGCACTGAGACATCTCTCATTAGAGTCACAAATGATTTGCTCTTATCATCCGATCGTGGTTGTATCTCTCTATTAGTGTTACTTGATCTTAGTGCTGCATTTGACACTATTGACCACAACATTCTTTTAAATAGACTCGAAAACTATGTTGGCATTAGTGGAGTTGCACTAGCATGGTTTAAATCATACTTATCTGACCGTTATCAGTTTGTAGCAGTAAATGAAGAGATGTCTTATCGATCACAAGTTCAGTATGGCGTACCACAAGGCTCAGTACTAGGACCGCTGCTGTTCACTCTGTACATGCTACCATTAGGAGATATCATTAGGAAACATGGAGTTAGCTTTCACTGTTATGCCGATGATACTCAGCTCTTTATTTCTTCAAAACCCAATGAAACTTACCAATTCACAAAATTAACGGAATGCATAGCTAATATAAAAAATTGGATGACTAGAAATTTCCTACTACTAAATTCTGAAAAGACAGAGATTCTAATTATTGGACAAAAAACTTAATAAAAAACACGTAATAACCCAGAATACTGTCTAACACTTAATGGCTGCTGTGTCAAGTCTGCGTCGTCGGTTAGGAACCTGGGTGTGCTCTTTGATACCAACCTTTCTTTTGAAAGCCACGTGTCTAGTATCTGTAAAACCGCATTTTTCCATCTTAAAAATATATCTAAAATACGCCATATGCTCTCATTGGGAAATGCGGAACAATTAGTCCATGCGTTCATGACCTCAAGGCTAGATTACTGTAATGCTCTACTGGGTGGTTGCCCTGCACGCTTAATAAACAAACTACAGCTAGTTCAAAACGCCGCAGCTCGAGTTCTTACCAGAACCAGGAAGTATGACCATATTAGCCCGGTTCTGTCAACACTGCATTGGCTCCCTATTAAACATCGTATACATTTTTAAATATTGTTGATTACCTACAAAGCACTGAATGGTTTAGCTCCAGTACTTGAGCGAGCTCTTAACGCATTATAGTCCTTCACGTCTATTGCGATCTCAAAACTCCGGCCAGTTGATAATACCTAGAATATCTAAATCGACTGCTGGCGGGAGATCCTTTTCCTATTTAGCACCAAAACTTTGGAACAGTCTTCCTACCATTGTCCGGGAAGCAGACACACTCTGTCAGTTCAAAGCTAGACTAAAAACACATCTCTTTGACCTAGCATACACATAACACATTATAGACTTCGATAATTCAATGTTAGGCTGCATAGATTAGGTCAGCCGGAACTGGGAACACTTCCCTTAAATCCAGATGTACTCGCTACATCATAAGAAGAATGGCATCTACACTAATATTAGTGTCTTTGTTTATCCCGAGGTTTTTCCTCAGCCTGCCGGATCCAGGCCGTGTCCAGATCTGACGAGCGAGCTTTGCCTGGACCCGATGACAATGCAGTGCTGAAGTATCCACTATCCTCTCCCTATGGAGGATCCCTTTCCCACTCTACAGATAAAGCGTTATGAATTCCGGCTCGCGTACCCCGAAGTGATAAAATAAAACAAAATTCTGTATCAAAATTTATAGGCAAGAAAAGTAGTTTGTTTAGGCTGGGTTGTATGAATTACAAACCTGCGCACATATTTTAAAAAGCACATAACTATAGAATTCTGAATGAGCATGTGAACGCCGTCAGCGTTAATCACAGGTTCGCGTTTAAAGTCTGATCATTTCGACGGAGGTGAATCAATCAAAGTTAACTTTAGCTGGAAGTAACATTATTCAAGAACCGCTATAACGCCAAAACAATCTGTTACCTTAAATTGTATGTTTATCTCTGTAAAGCTGCTTTGAAACAATCCATTGTTAAAAGCGCTATATAAATGAAGATGACTTGACTTGACGTGTGTGTGTGTGTGTGTGTGTGTGTGTGTGTGAAGCTAACCCTAAAGCCTTGTTTATACTCGACGCGTCCTCACGAGCGCGAGTCTCCGCTGACTGCGCGCGCACCTCTCCATATGGACGAGGCGTTTATACTTGACGCGCTCGCCGTTGTGCTATTCTGTGAAACGACAGGGGGCGACTCGGAGTAATTCTCCTCTAAACCACCAGGAATCAGCAGTGAAGAAGTAGTTTGCCATTTATTAGTAGTTTATTAATTTCTGATTCATATAAAAAGAGTAATAAATGCAGTAGGTTTATTGTACTTTCACTGCATGTAAACTAGTAAACAACTGAAGCCTTATTGAAGAGTGTTTAAACCTTAATTTCATCAGCAGGGCTTACTTCTGCTATTGTAGGCTTATTTTGTAAATATAAGCAGTTACTTTAGACAAGTGCAAACTGGGTGCTTAATGTAAATGTGTTCCTATTCAAAAAATGAGAGGCTTTTATGGTCGCCCATCAATGCAAATGTCTCTGTGTATAGAAGGATCATAAACATGCTGGTACAGACGTACCAGTTCGGCCTGATTCGGCTCGAAGTCGTTCATCTTCGGATGCGGCGCCGCGCGCGATGTTACAAAAAGTGCCGTGCACACCGCCAGGCGAAATGGGGTCTCGCGCACCCAACGCGCACGACCGCCCACACCGCAATGACGTCATTTTTGCCGCGCGCACTTCGCGCTCTTGCGGACGCGTCGAGTATAAACAAGGCTTAACCCTTCCAGAACACCTAACCCATGTCCAGCTCGTGTGTGTGTGTGTGTGTGTGTGTGTGTGTGTGTGTGTGTCTGAAGCTAACCCTAACCCTTGCAGAACACCTAACCCATGTTCAGCCCGCGCGTGTGTGTGTGTGTGTGTGTGTGTGTGAAGCTAACCCTAACCCTTCCAGAACACCTAACCCATGACCAGCCCGTGTGTGTGTGTGTGTGTGTGTGTGTGTGTGTGAAGCTAACCCTAACCCTTGCAGAACACCTAACCCATGTTCAGCCCGCGTGTGTGTGTGTGTGTGTGTGTGTGTGTGTGTGTGTGTGTGTGTGAAGCTAACCCTAACCCTTCCAGAACACCTAACCCATGTCCAGCCCCGTTATAGAGCTGTTCACCTTCCTGGCGGAGGACGTCCATCAGGGACCGGGCCAACAGCTGACCTGGAAACAGTCAACAACTCACCTTCAGGAGGAAGTACAAATATGGGTAACACTTTATAATAACTGCATGCTATTAATCATTTGTTAAGCATGAGTAAACCGTTAATTCATCATTTATAAAGCATTAAGATACATTAATAAGCAGTTTATATATACAGCTATAAAAGCTTTTTTTCTTGATTTATAAGCATATCTATAATGCGTTTAATAATTGTATTTTCATACTTTGTTAATGATCAATTAATAATTTCTAAATGAAGTATAGCATTATTTGTAAACCAGTTATTTAAGAGTTGTCAGTTATTCATAAGAGCACTTAGAAAGTGTAAGTAAATGTAGTAAATACAGGTAGTTATAAAGCATTTAGTAGTGGTCAGTTAACTATGTGTGTGAGCTCATCTAAAGTGAGGACTATTCATGCCTTGTAAAGCATTTATAAAGGAGATTTAAAGGCGCATCAATCTTCTAAACAGAAAAATGTAACAAACACAACACAGTGATACAGAACATAGAAATATTTAACAGCCTCTAAATCTCCTTTATAAATGCTTTACAAGGCACGAGTAGTCCTCACTTTAGATGAGCTCACAAACATAGTTAACTGACCACTACTAAATGCTTTATAACTACCCGAATTAACCCTGAATTACAGCATAAATACATGTTAATAAAGCATTTATTAACACACTAAGTAACCATCACTATATGTCTGAATAATAAGATGTATGAATGTACATTTAAATAGTTTATTAATCATTTACTTACACGTTCTAAGTAATCTTATGAACCACTGAAAACTCTTAAATAACTGGTTTATAAAAAATGCAATTATTCATTTAGAAATAATAAATTGATCATTAATAAAGGATGAAAATACAATTATTAAATAAATTATAGATATGCTTGTAAATCAAGAAGAAAGCATTTATAGCTGTATTTATAAACTGCTTATTAATGTATCTTAATGCTTTATGAATGATGAATTAACTGTTTACTCATGCTTAACTAATGATTATTAGCGTGCAGTTATTATAAAGTATTACCGAACAGAATAGAATAGAATGGAAACTCACACGGCAGGAGGCAGAAGAACAGCAGTTTCAGCGCAGACATCATGAGCTGTGTAACAGAGGAATCGCTGAAGCTCGAGAATATCTTCAGATGCTCGTCTGGAAGTGTCCGCTCACCTCTCCTGCTCTCCCATCTCTGAGCCCACAGGCTTTATACTCTCCGCTCTGCCCCTCACCTGTCAATCACCCCAGCTCGCCCCACTATTATTATTTTTTTATTTTATTTTTTTCACTATTGGTCAGATCCGCGCTGAAGCCCCGCCCACGGCCGCGGGCTCAGCTTTAACGCACACACACCAACAATAAAACATTAAACAGAGCGAGTGCAAGTTTCAAATAAGACTGAACTTGTCGACAGTTTTATATGTAAGACTCAGACTGACAGCATTCATTATTGAGCGGCTGTCGCCGGATTATTCTCTGCTTAGTTCAAAACAGATGTTTTCCGCCAAGCTGAAACTTTAAAAGCTGCTAATAAAACCAGTTTTGCAGACGCGACACATACCAGAAACTTCCATCCCCTTTTATTTTCATCCTGAGGAAAAGATCTCAAACACGTCTTAAACTTCTAACACAGACCTTCACCTCACACTCAGCAGCCCGACTCTGGGTCCAGGCTGAACGTCAGGTTTGCACCCTGAAATAATCATATTATTAATGATGAAAAATAGATCAAGGACATAATATCAATATTTGTTCAACTTAAATCACTTATTTTACATCAAATCAACATTAAAACAATTTGAAAACAATCTTCCTTCTTTGTACAGCAGGATCTCAAATAAATAAATATGGCTTTATTTCTATGCCAGTGAATCGTGTTTTGACTTCTTTCAAGCAGGGATAAAATCAACATGATTTTGAACCAAAAAGACACTAACTCAAAATCATTGATTAAGCAACTCCAAAACAAACAGCATTACCAGCTTCACTTATTACTAACACTTTTTAAACGCATTGTGCACATAAAAGACTTGCATTACTTAGACATCAACAATCAGCATATGCATCTCAACAATGGTGATAATCAATAAAATATTCAGATAAACAGATCTGAACAGAATTCTGAACATCCCAAATCAGGCTACTAAAAGTCCCAGCAAAAATAAAAGAAAATAAAGAAAATAGTTAGACCATTTAACAGCATAATTTAGTCATGCTGCAATGGATGCTGGGAGTCATCAATGTGTTTTATTCTCTGCTGGCACCCAGCATGCATCGCGACATGAAGATTTGTTGATTTGATGATTGTCACCATTGTTGAGATTCATGTGCTGATTCTTGATGTCTGTGTGTCTGAATCTTGCACACAATACAGAGAGTGCGTATTGCACCATTAGCACCTGTTATTCTCCATAGTATTAGAGGGTGTGTTAAATTTGACATAAGGGCTTCATACTAGAGCTACTACTCTACAGAAATCCAAAATCTGGGCAGTTTTTACTTAAGCAATCTTTTTATATGGACCCTTGAACTTGGTATATTAGACAATAACCAGAGCGCTTATTGCACCATTAGCACCTGTTATTCTCCATAGTTTCACTAACTGACTAGTAAGTCAAAGTCCAAATCACAGTATTTGCTGTCCTAACTTAATTGATATAAGTAGTGTAGAACATTATATAGAAACTGTGTCTATTCCTCGTCTAGTGAGGCCAAACAATAAATCTAGTGTAGGATCTAGGAAAAATCTTATTGTAATTAAACCTGAAAATCTAAATATCAGTGAACAAAAACAATTTCTAAAACTAGGTCTTCTAAACATTAGATCGCTCACACCTAAGGCGGTTATTGTAAATGAAATGGTCACAGATAATAGCTTCGATGTACTTTGCCTTACTGAAACCTGGCTTAAACCAAATGAGTATTTCGGTCTTAATGAGTCCACTCCGCCAGGATACTGTTATAAGCATGAGCCCCGTCTGATCGGTCGTGGCGGCGGTGTTGCAACAATCTATAAAGATATTCTTAATGTTACTCAGAAAACAGGTCACAGGTTTAACTCGTTTGAAGTACTTGTGCTAAATGTTACGCTCTTAGATGTAAGAAAGAAATCCCTATTATCTCTAGCCTTGGCTACTGTATATAGACCTCCAGGGCCCTACACTGATTTCCTAAAAGAGTTTGCAGACTTTCTCTCAGATCTATTGGTCAATGCTGATAAAGCAATAATTGTTGGAGATTTTAACATACACGTAGATAACACAAATGATGCGTTAGGGGCTGCGTTTACAGATTTATTAAACTCCTTTGGGGTCAAGCAGAACGTCAGTGGTCCCACTCATCGTCTAAATCATACACTAGATTTAATTATATCATACGGAACCAATCCAACCGATATAGATATTATACCGCAAAGTGACGATCTCACCGATCATCACATGGTAACTTGTATAATACGTACTGCTGAAATTTGTCATGTTGCGCCACGTTATAGACCAGGCAGAACAATCCTTCCTACCACTATAGATAGATTCTCAAATAGCTTACCTGATCTATCTCAGCTGCCCAGTGAACCCAAACAAACAGATGAACTAGAGGAAATGACTAGCAGTTTGAGCACCATTTTCTCTAGTACATTAGATATTGTTGCACCAATTAGATTGAAAAAGGTTAGAGAGAAAACTAAAGCACCATGGTACAACAGTGCTACACATGCTATCAAGAGAGAAACTCGTAACTTAGAGCGTAAATGGAAACAAACTAATTTAGAGGTCTTTAGAATCGCGTGGAAAGACAGTGTGTCACGTTATAAAAAGGCTCTAAAAGCAGCCAGGGCTGAGCATCTCCGCAAACTAATAGAAAATACCAAAATAATCCAAGGTTTTTATTTAACACCGTGGCTAGACTAACAAATAAACAGACATCACCCGAGCAAATTATTCCGTTACAGTATAGTTGTAATGATTTTATGAATTACTTCAATGAGAAAATAGAAAGCATTCGAAACACAATTATAAATGTACAATCCTCTATGGTGTCTTATGATTCAGCCTCAATTATCGCCCCTCAAGAACAACTACACCGCTTTACAACTATAGGACAGGAAGAGCTAAATAAACTTATCATTGCATCTAAACCAACAACATGTTTATTAGATCCAATACCCACTAAACTTCTGAAAGAAGTGTTACCTGTAGTGGAAGAGCCTCTTCTCAATATTATTAACTCGTCTTTATTCTTAGGTCATGTTCCAAAAATATTCAAGCTGGCAGTAATAAAACCTCTTATTATGAAACCGCAATTAGATCCAAATAACTTAGCAAATTACAGACCCATTTCAAATCTTTCATTTATGTCTAAAATACTAGAAAAAATTGTGTCCGCTCAATTGTGCTCTTTCTTGCAAGAAAATGAGATATATGAAAAATTTCAGTCAGGATTCAGACCGCATCATAGCACAGAAACTGCGCTAGTTAAAATTACAAATGATTTACTTTTAGCGTCTGACCAAGGCTGTATCTCAATATTAGTTCTACTCGATCTTAGTGCTGCGTTTGACACTATCGATCATAAAATACTCTTGGATCGACTACAAAACTACACTGGTGTTCAGGGACAGGCATTAAGCTGGTTCAGATCGTACTTATCAGACCGTTACCATTTTGTTTGTTTAAATGGGGAAATTGGAAGATAACGTCAGTAGACTATGGAGTGCCGCAAGGATCGGTGTTAGGCCCTCTGCTATTCTCAATATATATGCTGCCACTTGGTAATATTATAAGAAAACATGGAATTAATTTCCACTGCTATGCTGATGACACTCAATTATATATTTCATCACGACCAGATGAAAACACTAACTTATCTAAATTGACAGAGTGTCTTAAAGATATAAAATGCTGGATGACGCATAATTTCCTGCTATTAAATCCAGATAAAACGGAGGTATTACTTGTTGGTCCGAAAAACTACCCACAAAACCACTTACAATACAACTTTAATATAGAAGGATGTCCTGTTACCTTATCCACTACAGTAAAAGACCTGGGTGTTATACTAGACCACAACTTGTCTTTTGAAAATCATATTTCATATGTTACAAGAACTGCCTTTTTCCACCTTAGAAACATTGCTAAATTACGTAACATGCTATCTGTTTCCGATGCAGAAAAGTTAGTTCATGCATTCATGACCTCGAGACTAGATTACTGTAATGCTTTATTAGCTGGTTGTCCTGCATCTTCAATAAACAAGCTACAGTTAGTGCAAAATGCAGCCGCTAGAGTTCTTACTAGGTCAAGAAAATATGATCATATAACACCGATTCTATCATCTCTGCACTGGTTACCTATTAAGTTCCGTATCAATTACAAAGTACTATTACTGACCTATAAAGCCCTAAATGGTTTAGCTCCTGTGTATTTAATGGACCTTCTATCGCCCTACAATCCATCGCGTTCGTTAAGATCACTAAATTCGAGGCTTCTGGTCATTCCTAGGATATCTAAGTCCACTAAAGGAGGGAGGGCGTTCTCACATTTAGCTCCTAAACTCTGGAATAGCCTTCCTGATACTGTTCGTGGCTCAGACTCGCTCTCCCAGTTCAAAACTAGATTAAAGACGCATCTCTTCAGCCAAGCATTCACATAATGCTTACCTTTTATACCACTGCTGAATCAGATCGAATGCATTAATATTATGAACAGCAGCTACGCTAATTATTTCCCATCTGCTTTTCTGCTGTTATCTCGGGACGCTAGTCCCGAGGTAAATAGCGTTCGTCAGCTCCAGTTTGTATCCAGCCTCTCACGGAGACTTCAGACGCTCCAACACCTGCGATGAGACGACTCGACGCCTGTGAAGAGACGACTCGACGCCGGCGATATGTTATGCCCTAAATTAATACATGATGATTAACTAACTGTATTCTTCTATGTACATTTCTGTAAAGCTGCTTTGAAACAATATGTATTGTGAAAAGCGCTATACAAATAAATTTGAATTGAATTGAATAGTATTAGAGGGTGTGTTAAATCTGACATAAGGGCTTCATACTAGAGCTACGACTCTAAAGAAATCCAAAATCTGGGCAGTTTATACTTAAGCAATCTTTTTTTATGGACCCTTGAACTTGGTATATTAGACAATACGAGTGCGTATTGCACCATCAGCCCAAGCAGCACCTGTTATTCTCCAGTCTTTGTGCATATTTAGTTAAATATTTAACACACCCTCAGTCTCTATAATTTCTGGCAATATTGTATTTCTTGATTTACTTTCTTGTTAAAAAATATATTTTATAAAAAACAGACTATAAAGTTATGTCCCAGTCTGAACTCAACCCCGTCACAAACAGTATTTGTATATTTATAAATGTTTTGGGGTTGAAAACCTGTGACTATTGTTTTTCAGTTCAGTTCGTTTAAATGAATAATTTAAAATGATAAAATACTCGTTTCAGAAAATATGTACTTATAATTGTCAGGAATGTCAGCCACATCAGCAACAGAGACGGTGTTGTTCATACAGTTCCCTTTCGAACGGTCACTTCGTATTGCGTAGCTATTCGCAGTGGGAAAAACTCCCTTTTCTCGATTTACTGAAACTTATATGTAAAACGCATTTGTGTTCGCATTTGCAAATGAGTTTTACATAGACCAATTTTCAGTTGGTAAACATGCACTGTTGCCAACCATTTTCTAAGGAAAGTAGCTAACGCCTTCCCTAAAAGTCGCTAGATGACGTCATACGCTAATTAGCATATTCATGACGTCACCGCGTCGTACTTGCGTTCTGCCAAGCCTAATGTGTTTTCTCTCTAAATTCATGCTCACATTCTGTATTTTAATATAATATAATATGAATGTCCAATAAAGCTGTTCTCATTACCTATATTATTTTTGTCAGACAGTAGAACAAGTAGGCTAACTATATAGGCTAGTGAATGACAAAAAAATTTTATATGTGTAAAATTATCTGAATTGAGAGAGTTCGGGAAATGGGTGAAAGCTCTGTGATAGTGAGTATTACAAGTAATAAGCACAAGAAAAGAACGGAATTAAAATGGTCAAACAAAACTCTTTAAAAATAAAACAAAAGAGAAGCTGATAAGTGACAAGTCCGTGAAAAAAAAAAAAAAAAAAAAAACTGGCGCGAGCTCAACACATGAATGTGCTGCTGCTCGTCTCAGCCATTCACTGAACAAGGTAGACGCCGTTAGAGAGAGAGAGAGACGGCCGGGAGAAGGCAAGACCTCGCGCTCGCAGGACAACTGGCAACATCTGGAGATTACTGCAGGTTTGTGTGAAAAGTCGCTAGATATGTCGCTAGTCGCTTTTTAAAAAAAATTTCGCTGAAGGGGTCTGAAAAGTCGCTAAAAATAGCGACAAAGTCGCTAAGTTGGCAACACTGTAAACATGGTGACGTTTTTCTGTGGGCGGAGCTTAGGTGGAGGCAGAACGATCCCTCTGGCCGCTTCACTAACGTAAAGTCTGCAAGTTTTGTTAGCTTGTTTTTAACAATGACTGGAGAAAATCCTATTTTATCTTAATGTGCAAGGTCACTCAGTGTCCAGGACCGCGATTGTTATTTGCAGAAGTTAATTTTAACGGACAGAACCAGATTGGCCGACCCGTACTGTAGCCTAAACGCTGGACGATCTGACAGGATTAACGTTAACGCTACCTCCGGTTGAGTGGCCTGGTCTTGAGCTGAATGGTCATGTAAAGACTGTGTATGATCCGCAGTTCTGCCGAGCCAGCGCGATGAAGACGACAATGTAAAGAGTGACATTACGGTGCAATTTTAATGAGGTGAATATTTTCTAGAAATAAAAAATTGCGGATAAAGTATATACATTTTTCATTGATTCTTGCACCCAACAACACAACAAGATGACATTTAATAATAAGAAGAATAATTTAAGATCCTTATTTTGTAGTCGAATCTGTGCTGGTTTGTATTTGCCGCCTCCAGTTTTCCCTTTGTTCTGCCACCAGCTAGCGCCGTGACGTAACTGTGACGTCGGCTGGAAATTGGTCTATAGGTTTCAGTAAATTGAGAAAAAGGAGTTTTCCCACTATAGCTACGCAATACGAAGTGACCGTTCGAAAGGGAACTGAGGTTACGTGAGTAACCAAGTAGATATCCTGACCCAGAAAGGGCACAATGAGAGACTAAATTAAAAACATAAGACGGAACGCATTGTCTCCCTTCAATCTTGTTAGTCCTCAACCTAGAGGTCTTCTCGGGTCCTAAAAACTGTTCCCGACCCGAATCGACCCGAATCACTCCTTACCCGAACCCGACGTGCATAAATTATTTTTTTTTAAAGAAAAACCCGACCCGAGACAGACCCGATAAAACTATATCCGAGTCCGACCCGACCCGACGCCATTTCCTGTAGAACCCGACTGGACCCGAACGTAAACGGCATTTACAATGTGCACAGCAGCTCTGCGTTTCTCAAACATGCACTTAACATAGACGCGCAAGTGTAAGCGTGCTGAAGTGCTAAAATGTCAATCACACATCACTGTAACCCATTACGTCCTATAACATTTGGCATAATGTTATTTACCGGACCATACGATGATTAGAACCACCATTCGTTTTCCCTGACATATTTCGCAATGTCTGTTATCGCCTCCATGGTTTTCTGACAGTGTCGCGTATTTTTAAAATTGATTGACAGGCCTGGCTAAACGACAATTCAAATACTTGCATTTAGTCAAACATCCATCCACATGATGGCGCACTAGTTCTTCTTGGCAAAGGGAGGGGTTGGTTTATGTGGAGCGAGCGACTGAGTAAATGCGGAGGCAACCGTGCTTATGCTGATAGCCCATGTGCACGCAGAAGCGCGGATTCGCTCTCTCACTTAGAAAAAGTGTCAGAGTTGTTTTAAATACTGCAATTTTCTTAAATGCCCAACATAGTTTAAAAGAATTCGGGTCTTCTCGGGTCCATTTGGAAAAGGCATATTTATTTTAAATTACCCGAGACCCGAGGCCACTAATACCGAACCCGACCCGTGTCCGAGACACTCGTCGGAGTTTTGGACCCGAACCCGCTCGGGTCGGACCTCGGGTTTTCGGATCCAAGTGGACCCGTGAAGACCTCTACCTCAACCCCTTACACTATTCTTAAAAAAAAAAGTTAATTTATATACATGTGTATGTGTGTGTGTATATATATATATATATATATATATATATATATATATATATAGAGAGAGAGAGAGAGAGAGAGAGAGAGAGAGAGAGAGAGAGAGAGAGAGAGAGAGAGAGAGAGAGAGAGAGAGAGAGAGAGAGAGAGCAGACGATTTAAAATTGAGGCATTTCTCGCTTTTTACCACCTGACGAACACAAGATTGTGGTTTTAGTTAAATATCTAAATTTAAAATTTTTTTCCAAAAATAAAGAGACCACAGAAACATGAGGTTTGATATGAGCCTAATGATGTGTGGCATTTAGAAAATGAATCATGTAGTTGAATATAATTTAAATATTACTAGTTCTAAACTCAATCCCAACAGAAAGATCACTTAGTAACCAGAGGAAATGAACTGCAGTAAAACAGCTGCACAATATTCAGGGAAGAAAACAAAGTGATTGCTTTACTCAGTCAAAATTTAAAACAAGTTTTTTGACAAACATCTCATGTTCTGCTCGCGTCAGTATTGCATCAGACCTGCAGGAATGACTGTAAATCACCTTTACAAACAGACTCGAAACACAAAGATCATCTATTTACAGCATTTATTTCAGAAATAACAGATTAAAAAGCAAAACGGACCAAACTTGCTCCTTCCACATTAGCGGGAGAAGCAGAAACGGGTGAGTCAGAGTCACGAGTCAGCGGAGGGTTAGCGGTTAGCGGAGGTTAGCGGGTCACACGAAGGTGATGCGCGAGCGGGCCTGGTTGATCTGCCACACGTTCAGCTCCTCGTACTCGTCGAGCGCGGCCTGGAACTGGGCCGGAGTGAAGCCGCGCGACACACAGCGCTGCTCCGCCTCGTTCATCCGCACGGATCGGGCCGAACCCTCGCCGGAGAGCTCCCGCAGCAGAGAGAAGATCACATCCGCCGGACGCTGAGCCCTGAGGACGACAGAGAGCATTCTGGGAGATGCTCCACTGATCATGTGCTTAACTGTTTCTGAGACGCTCCAGTGATCAGTAGAAGTCACTGGATGGAGTAGAAGTAGAGGTGTAGAGGTGAAGTAAAGGTGAAGTAGAGGTGGAGTAGAGGTGGAGTAGAGAAGAAGAGATAGTGTAGAGGTGGAGTAGAGAAGAAGAAGAGATAGTGTAGAGGTGGAGTAGAGGTGAAGTAGAGGTGGAGTAGAGAAGAAGAAGTAGAGGTGGAGTAGAGATGAATTAGAAGTGGAGTTGAGAAGAAGAGATGGAGTAGAGGTGAAGTAGAGGTAGTGTAGAGATGGAGTATAGAGCATTGCGGTCGCCACTGCCATCATTGTCATTAATTATTAATATTATTATTATCATTATTATTATCATTAATCTTGCCATTGTCAATGCTGTATTGGAATTAAGTGTCATTGTCATCACTACTGCAATAACTCCCCCCTTATCTCTTCATGGGCTTTTAATGCAACACAACATAAAAAAAAAAAAAAAAAAGGAATATGTATGGAAAACTTAAACACCAAGACAGGCGAGAAGTGGTTTCAACGGGACAGCATCTCTGTCCCAATTTGAGACACTCTCGCACTGTACTCCCTCTTTTAATGCACCTTAGACATTGCACATAACACAAAAAAAAAATAATAATAATAATAATTAGGGAAAGATAGGGACTGATGAGATGTGGGGGAAGGTTCTCTTATATCATCTTTTACTTTGTGCAGGATTGACAATGGCAATTGTTACATCGGAGGAAGGATGGAAATAAAAATCGACCAACACAATATTGGCAGTGTGGTGGTAGTGGGGAGTGGGGTGGTGATGGTAATGACAATGGTAATAGATAATAAATAGTTACTCTGTTTACGCATACACACACATACACATACCCACACCCGCTCACATACACACTTAGATCAAACACTTAAATCACTTTGTCACTTCTGGAATTATGGATTTACAAGATTGCTCACTGCTGCACTCTGTTGGTTTGTATGTATGTTTGACTTAAATAAAAAAAAAAATAAAAAAAAAGAGAGATGGAGTATAGGTGAAGTAAAGATGGAGTTGAGGTGAAGTAGAGGTGGAGTAAAGATGGAATAGAAGTGGAGTAGAGGTGGAGAAGAGATGAATTAGAGATGGAGTAGAGGTGAAGTAGAGATGAAGTAGAGGTGAAGTAGAGGTAGTGTAGAGATGGAGTATAGGTGAAGTAAAGATGGAGTTGAGGTGGAGTAGAGGTGGAGTAAAGATGGAATAGAAGTGGAGTATAGGTGAAGTAGAGGTGGAGTAAAGATGGAATAGAAGTGGAGTAGAGGTGGAGAAGAGATGAATTAGAGATGGAGTAGAGGTGAAGTAGAGATGAAGTAGAGGTAGTGTAGAGATGGAGTATAGGTGAAGTAAAGATGGAGTTGAGGTGGAGTAGAGGTGGAGTAAAGATGGAATAGAAGTGGAGTATAGGTGAAGTAGAGGTGGAGTAAAGATGGAATAGAAGTGGAGTATAGGTGAAGTAGAGGTGAAGTAAAGATGGAGTAGAGGTGAAGTAGAGGTTAAGTAAAGATGGAATAGAAGTGGAGTATAGGTGAAGTAAAGATGGAGTAGAGGTGGAGTATAGGTGAAGTAGAGGTGAAGTAAAGATGGAGTAGAGGTGGAGTATAGGTGAAGTAGAGGTGAAGTAAAGATCGAGTAGAGGTGGAGTATAGGTGAAGTAGAGGTGAAGTAAAGATGGAGTAGAGGTGGAGTATAGGTAAAGTAGAGGTGAAGTAAAGATGGAGTAGAGGTGAAGTAGAGGTTAAGTAAAGATGGAATAGAAGTGGAGTAGAGGTGGAGAAGAGATGAATTAGAGATGGAGTAGAGGTGAAGTAGAGATGAAGTAGAGGTAGTGTAGAGATGGAGTATAGGTGAAGTAAAGATGGAGTTGAGGTGGAGTAGAGGTGGAGTAAAGATGGAATAGAAGTGGAGTATAGGTGAAGTAGAGGTGGAGTAAAGATGGAATAGAAGTGGAGTATAGGTGAAGTAGAGGTGAAGTAAAGATGGAGTAGAGGTGAAGTAGAGGTTAAGTAAAGATGGAATAGAAGTGGAGTATAGGTGAAGTAAAGATGGAGTAGAGGTGGAGTATAGGTGAAGTAGAGGTGAAGTAAAGATGGAGTAGAGGTGGAGTATAGGTGAAGTAGAGGTGAAGTAAAGATCGAGTAGAGGTGGAGTATAGGTGAAGTAAAGATGGAGTAGAGGTGGAGTATAGGTGAAGTAGAGGTGAAGTAAAGATGGAGTAGAGGTGGAGTATAGGTAAAGTAGAGGTGAAGTAAAGATGGAGTAGAGGTGAAGTAGAGGTTAAGTAAAGATGGAATAGAAGTGGAGTATAGGTGAAGTAAAGATGGAGTAGAGGTGGAGTATAGGTGAAGTAGAGGTGAAGTAAAGATGGAGTAGAGGTGAAGTAGAGGTTAAGGAAAGATGGAATAGAAGTGGAGTATAGGTGAAGTAGAGGTGGAGTAAAGATGGAGTAGAGGTGGAGTAAAGATGGAATAGAAGTGGAGTATAGGTGAAGTAGAGGTGAAGTAGAGGTGGAGTAAAGATGGAATAGAAGTGGAGTATAGGTGAAGTAGAGGTGAAGTAAAGATGGAGTAGAGGTGAAGTAGAAGTGGAGTAAAGATGGAGTAGAGGTGAAGTAGAGGTAAGGTAAAGATGGAATAGAAGTGGAGTATAGGTGGAGTAAAGGTGAAGTAGAGGTGGAGTAGAAGTGGAGTAGAGATGAAGTAGAGGTGGAGTAAAGATGGAATAGAAGTGGAGTATAGGTGAAGTAGAGGTGGAGTAGAAGTGAAGTAGAGATTAAGTAGAGGTGAAGTAGAGATGAAGTAGTAGTGGAGTAAAGATGGAATAGAAGTGGAGTATAGGTGAAGTAGAGGTGGAGTAGAAGTGAAGTAGAGATTAAGTAGAGGTGAAGTAGAGATGAAGTAGTGGTGGAGTAAAGATGGAATAGAAGTGGAGTATAGGTGGAGTAAAGATGGAGTAGAGGTGAAGTAGAGGTGA